CTGTCGCGACCTACCAGGCCGCTATAATCTCGTTAGTACATCAGTTTCTCATTTGAGTCGCGCCCCCAAGCAAGGTTGTCCTTTGCCCAAGGTCGCGGACTTCAGCAGTGGTTGCCGGACGCTGCGCGAGCCGGAACACATCACTCCTCGTTCGAAGTTTTGGTGCGACCCGCTGCCGCGTGAGAGCCAAGCGTGGCATTAGAAGCCCCAGTGGGGGATGAGTGCCGATACCGCCGCTGACGAAATGGCTGCTGCCGAGTTTGGTGGTGATAGGTAGACCGATCTCTGTACAACGTGACGTCCATTCTTGTGTCCACCCAACTTCAGCACGGCTGTTGTGCTGATGCTGTCTGTACATGGTGGACTCCAAGAATGCTTTTGCGATGGGCTGAGGTCGTGGATACAATGAGGTGGCTCTTCGTTCGCCGCTGCGTGCACCTACAACAACAACAGGTCGGTAGACCCATCACCACCCAACTCGTTTCTGACACGGAGCTGGCCGTACCAAAATGACGACCGAGGAGCATTCTAGCGACGACATCAAACAAGACTCTTCGCGCCGAGTTGGGAGGATAGAGCCAAGCCAAACGCGACCAGGGTACTTGGTGCTACGACAAGTGTGGATGCTTGGTGGATCCATATTAGCATCACCGATGTTCCATGTTGTTGTTAAGGAATACCCTTTGCGTCAACGTGTTGCCGACAACTCGCGTGTCGTCCGCACACGGCATGACAAGCGCCATGGTGGCGAAGTCCTACAAAACTTGGTTGTTCTTAGGCAGCAACACCACGCTCACCTACACAAATGCAACTACTGCGGCAGGGGTGATGAGGACCGATGTGGTCCATCGAGAACCACATGTCTACTTGGACGCGGTTGAGCCCTCCGTCCACCCGAAACACTGCCATGTTCTTGACCTTGAGCAGCGACACAGCCTTGGTTGCAGTCTGCGTCAGCCGTCAGATGATCTCTGACTCGGGCATGCCTTGGATCCATGCCGCCACGAGTTGCTCTTCTCCTCCATCCAGGGCCTACTCGTCGACCAGATACGACGCCGTGGCCACACCTTCGCCAGACTTGGATATTGAATTCGCGATTCTCCCGGAGCTGGCCCAAACACACATGCAACGAATGGTAAAGCACGAATCGATTAGGCACGTCTGGTTAGATCGGCGCTGTCATGAACGACGAAACGCGAGGAGGACATGCTTGGCGATGGTAGGGTATCGGGGCTATCGTGAACAACTAGCCTGACGTTTAATGAAGGTGGTTCAGAGCGACAAGTACCTTTGCATGCCATGATCCCGAATCATGACGATTTCCCCGTTGCCTGAGGAGTCAAAGCACAAACGATTGTCAAACGTGAGAGCCAGCATCCACAATACGTATCACTCGATGTCG